TTATCAACAAAGATCCTGAAGAAATGGAGACTTTTGAGTGACATGGTGCGACCTCGAGTGGAACCTGAATGGGAAATGACGACTTAGGTGTTTGACAGTGATATGAAGCATATCGTGTGAAAAGGAGGTAGGAGTTTATGGAGTAATCGTGGAGCCGGGTAAAGAGGTCTGCAGAGAATAGGGCAAAATGGAGATGTGGTGTTGAAGCCCTACGTTCCGCTCGGAACCCAGGGGAATAATAATATACAGAATTAATATCATTATATTCATGGCAGAGTGAGTTTTCATCTTGATGGTGACAAATACAGAGAATTCAAAAATGTTATAGTGGTGGTAATGTCAACAAACATTTAGCAAGTAAAAGACCCAACATTGTGCCGTGAATTTCGCCACCGCAAAACTCAGCATTCACTTAACAAAACAATCATCACCTACTTGTCCTTGGGACGCACACAGTGACAAGGAATACACTCGCATTATGCATAGCGCTATGTACTATTGATTGGTTGAGATGAGTAGTTGTGTACCACTCGCTCACCCAACCCACTCCCTCCCAGAACCAGTGCGTCGTCGGTGGCACAGCGGTAGAATGCTCGCCGATCACGAAGGTGGTTCGGAGTTCGATACTCGGCCACCAACACACTCCTTTAACTCGCTAAGCCAGTAGTAAGACTGGTAAAGAGGGAAGGTTGGGCATGAAGCAACCCCCATCCTGTAGAAATAATCACCACTGCTACAGAAACATCACTCCTCTAGCTCGAAGCCCCCTATGTTCTATTGAGAAAGTAAAGGAATGTAAAAAAAAACCCACATCACCTAGTAGTGCTTGTTAGCTAGCCAGATGGAAGTGATACAGACACTGGACAGTCCCAAAAACGAGCGATACAGCCATTATATGAAAGGACACTAAACTTAAAAAAAATCTTAGTTGTAACGTCCAAACTTTGTTCCTGAAAGGGGATTCCGATGCACCACACTGTGAATTAATTACAGTAATATGATATACGACTTAATGATATTACCCAGACGCCCCGAAAGAAGCAAAGACTGAGCTAAATTTTAAACCGGAACGCATAGAATTAAAGTTAATCTGCTTTAAGTTAAGCTAATGAGTTATACACCTCTCCGTGTAAGTTTGAATAATCACTACTGGTATATTTAGAAACATTTTTTTAATATTTTGTACAACAATTGGAAGTTCAATACACACATTGCTACAAAAAGGATCCACTGAAATACCTGTTTAACAGGTGAGTGTCTCGGAGGTCTACTGGCTGGTCTGTCTGTCTGTTTTCAACATAGAACTTTGCACCGATGTACACCAGTTCAAGTCACCACACTCCACTCCATGTTAGCACACAAAGCAAGAGAAGAAAGTAAAAAGAAACGCAAACTAGAGACAGTAAACAGAGATATGAGACAGAAAGAATAGTAACATCGAAGAACAATATAGTTTCATTGGAAATTATAAGTCACAAGGAGTGGATGCATCCGCAACAGCCATTGAGAACGATTACTTTGAATCATATCACCAAGTGTCTCCAGCTGTCATTGGCTTCAACCACCCCTAGGACCCCAATCAGGAAGTTTACATATTCCTACGTTGTGGATTTCATTGATTGGTGCCATATTTTGGTTTGACCACAACTAGCTAAATTTTCTCCAACCTGATCCTATGTCAGTCACCTAACATTGCCTGTCAGAAAAGGCGATGGCTAGGCATACGTAACACATGTCCTAACCACCTTAGTCGATGTAATTTCACAGCCTCGTCGATTGATTTCCCCTCCCACCTACTTAGCACTCGACCGAAGCCTAACCTCAATATTGCTCACCGTATTTTACCATTTCACACGGAAGATAGAACGCAGGCACCTATGATCAAAGACAACTAATCTTTTCATGTCTTCCACTCTCAATGGCCACGTCTCACAGCGAGTCATAAAGGAGGACGGAGCGGACTATTGGGTGGAGCATCAGCGACCCAGATTTCCACTCCACATTGACTCTCACACACTCCACTCACTACATCAATAACTAATGTCTAACAAACATATTCTACCGAGCCAACGCGTTCTTCGCCTCGAGAAATGTTAGCTGACAGAGACATAGGATTAGGTTGGAAGAAGAAAGTTACAATGTGGTCAATTCATGAAGTCTTTGACTGTGTTGGTTTGAAACACAGCCAGGTATTAAGGTATAGACTGCTTGGTAAGAATTCCCGAGACGCTAAGTAATCAGGGGTTACAGATTGCTGATATACGGTTGAAAATAGTTCCCAATGACGCAGATACATACATTCGCTCCTTGTAATCTTCGATATTCACGTTACATCTTCGTGTTTTTTAATATTACTCATCTTCCTCCCCCCCCTTTGATTTTTTTTACACGATCTTAGTGGACTACATGGAGTATGGCACTTTGAACTGGTGCGCTTCTGTACAAAATTCTACCAGTCATAAGATACAAGTGTCCCCGATGAAACTGTTTATAATTCTAAGGCCTCGTGTTTTCAGAATGAAAATTGGTGATTAAAACCTAATATAGAAAAAGAAGAGGGCCAAGTTAAACTTTAAAGCACCATTTTTCTTTTTACTACCGAAGGAGTACGGCCGCACCCACCAATGACCTTCAATGGATCAGTGAATTTCTTCACGTGAATTCAAGCATCCCATTCATTCAGCTTGATTTAAGTGAAATGCCTGCAGTAACAGAGTTACGTCTGAAATTTGATGTACACACCAAAGGGTTTCCAGTATTGCTTAAGATATGAGATTATTTGGAAAGGAAGGAATGTGTTCCTGTGAAGGTATCATGAGTATATAAAAAGCTTCAACTGGGTTCTAAAACAACATGTCGTGAAATCTACAGCTGCTGAAACGGAGAATAGTCTGATTTTAAGCTGTTTAGTGGTTCCAACACTGCAGAGATCTTACATCTTGAACGATAGAGAGTTAGTTCTTTATTGAGAGTTATTATTATAAATATAAAAATGAAACAGTCCATAATAAAGTAAAAAAAATACAACCGTGGTAGAGGAAAAGTAAATTAATATTCGGATGTGATTGGACTGTACGATAACACTTTACAGAAAGGATTGATGAAACCAGGATCTATATAAATAGATACAGATGAATGGTAAGGATGTAGCTCGTTGTCATGCCTGGGATTTATTCACCCTGGATACACTACACTGACGATTTTAAAGATCCCATTAAAGGGGCGGCTTACACCAATTGTATCGAGGGATTTCGGGGGGGGGGGGGACTGAAGAACAGGATTAGAACCATTAACGGATCTCAAAAGGATGTTATTTACAGCCATATAGATGAATAGAAGTATGGGATATGGTTAAATATTTATGTTTATATTCCTATGGAAAATTGATGGAAGGAAAGAATCACTAATAAGAAACTATGGGAACAAACAAAACAAGAACCAATCGCCAACCAACAAATATGCAGGAGAAAGTGGAGATGACACATTGGACACTCGCTCGCTGACGAGGCCACTAGGTAACACCACGCGCGTCAGCCCACTGCTCGAGTGGAAACAGGCTGAAATGGAAGCGGCGAGTGGGACGTCAGTGCAAGGGTGACACATGGAGGAGATCGTGTGAAGAGGAATTGAAACAGTATGGACTAACATGGATGCACGTGAAAAGTACAGCAGCAGACGACAGAAGCAAGTGGAGACGTGCAGTTAGAGCCCTATGTTCCACTAGGAACCCAAGGGAACAATAATAATAATACAATGGAAAATTTTGGTAACAAATCAGAGAAACGTATCCTGTGTAACATTCTCCTTTTTTTCAAGGTTTTGATTTGTTTTTCGAGTTTGACTACAAACTGATATCAGTTAGAAAACCATTGAACACAAGCATGGAGTACTGAACAGCTGTTTCATCCTAGTCTGGGAATCATTGGCAGTATGCACCCAACACAGGACCTTCCAGGTACACAAGGCAAGCTCGTATACCATTCAGCTACTGGGTCCCAATTCAATGGCCAACTACTCATGAATTCTAACCTCTATCAATTCATGATTTTAACGCCACCATCAACCAATGTCATTGGCGAGAAATGCATCCTCACTCCCAACTGGATGTTGGGCCTCATCGGTCACAACTTCTCACTAGAACTACGTATATATCTATATATAATACGCAAAAGTAGCCGTTTCCATATGATTAGTGTTTTCAAGGTCATCTTTTCATTGGTCGTTAATGGTACTCAAAGTTTAACTTTGTTGCGAAAAAGATCAATAACATTGAATGCCAACAAGTGGTGATGATGATGTAACAACTACTTACCTAAACAACACACTCAATATTAATAATAATAAACAAATTCAACAACAACTTAACACATTGATACGATACTCAAAAATAAAGTGTAAATACACATAGCCTTACTCACTACTTAAATAATAACCACACGAGATAACCACAAATACCAACAACAACACGTCAGGCTCTCTCGCTCGCTCTCTGTTACACACTTATGTGGTGAGAGCAGGCTCCTAGCCAATTGGTAGACATTAATTTACGTCAATGTCTACGTCGCTAATATCGGCCGTGAGAAAAAGTATGAACACGACTGATTCAACAACCAATCACAGCAGACTTAACGTGGGCAAATACGATTCGCAGATATATGGGGCTTAACTTTCTGAGAAACCAGTCACAAGCAGTGCAGAATAACCTTAGGCGAGAAACGACCAATCAGAAGACTGTGTTTGCACATGAAATATATACACATAAATACGTGCTGATTTCCTTAATAAACGATCATCTGTTGCCTGGCCCTTGTGTCTTCTGTTGTTACGCTTATGTAATGTAATGGAATGCAAAACAACCAAACAGAACAACCAACCAACTGACACCCAAACGCACGAACACAACGCAAAACAACACACGAACAGACAGGAAACCCTGTGTATGTGATGAACACAATACCAACAAAATTATCTCGGAAAATCTGAAAATAAAACCAAGAAAATTGAATCAAATATTCGTGTTATTTTTTGTATGTATGTATATATGTATAGAGCAGCATAATTATAACATTACAAGAAACAATACATACGTATATACGTAAGTAAGTACATATGCAAAAAAATGTATGTACAAGTGTGTGTGGAGGGGGGCGAGGGAAACAAAATATGAAATGGGATCATATTTCTTGAAGAATCCAAAAAAAGTAAATCGCATCGAAGGACGGGGACGCGGGCCGGGGGATATTGTTTTACTGTATTAGAAAGTGAGTGATATTTGGCAATGATACAGACAGACATATGCATATATATATATATATGCATCAAATTAGACAATCGGCGGGTGTTGAGACATTGGAGAAAGTAGACAGGGTGGAACGAAGGAAAGAAGGTAGGTAGGTGTGTAAGATGGGGGAGGGGCGGGGCGGGGCTATGGGCGCACGAACAGGTCAAATAAAAATACACAAGTGTACTGTATATAGAAGAGGTGGAATAATATGTTCATTTACTTATTTATTTATTTATATAAATGCTTCCTCCTGGATAACTTTGAATCGTTGAAAACAAACAAACGAACAAAAAAATTAATTAAAATAAAAAGAAGAGAAAAGAAGATACAAATGAGGTTTATAGAAAAAAAGGAAACAGAACTTTCAGTTTTTATGAACACGGGAGACCACTGGAAGTGGAGATTTCAGAGGACCTCTCTTTCTTTCTACATGTATATATATATACTCACTGTTTCGTTTTATTTTATTTGTGCATAGTTGTCCAAAATGAATAACTGTGTTAGTGAATGATCGTAGTAGAAGTACTCGTAATCTTCACATTATTGACAATACTGTATACACATCCGCAATAATGACGATAAGAGTATAGAAACAAATTTCCCAGAGACATTGTTATTAATTTAAACTAAAACGAAATAAAAATAAATAAATAAATATATAAGAAAGATGATAACACATCATGTTTAGGCAATGAAACATCTTCTAGGATAGAATCACATAAAATTACACACTGGTTTTGTTTAATCTTGTCAAGAGGTGGAGATGGGGGGGGTGTAAATCCCCCCTTCAAACTGTGTAGTTTGTAATTCGGGAATCCAATATGCCCCAGTAACTAAGCTGATCAGGTAGGTAATTACCTGGGATTCCAGTGGGAAGTCATGACCACTAGCGTGCACAGCAGGTCGGGAGTGAGGACAAATACTCGCCAGCGAAGACATTGGCTAGCGGTTGCGCTATATATCGTGAATTGGCAGAAGTTAGAATTCATGGACTGGCCGTTGAATCGGGTCCCAGTGGCTTAATGGTATACGAGCTCGCCTTGCAAACAGGAGGTCCTGGGTTTGAACCCTAGCGGTGGGTGCGTACTGCTGAATAGTCCCAAACTAGGAAGAAACTGCTGGCTGTCCAGTACTCCCAGGTTTCCCAATGGTTCTTTAACCAACGTCAACTCATAATGAAATCCTGTAACTAAGTTCGAATGCCAGTGATTTCAAATGACTCGGCTCTCTTCCTCAGCTGAAACATTCCGGGTACCATCATTGATGAGTTGGGCACCAAACAAACGAAACTGTCACTCGGTGTTCAGATCACTTCCACCTGACAGCTAGCAAGCATGATAACTGGATGACGTGAATGACTTCAAACTACTCATATGAGTCAATAAGTAGTAAGTACCAATATGCTATATCCGGTGCATAATTCTATTTAAAAAAACGATGAGTTCATAAGATTTTCTTCCAAGTCTTGACATTAGACAACGATAAATAAACTTGTAGTTACTTGCGAAGGACAATGGAAACTATGCAATTAAATCAAACAGCTCAACGAACACAAGACAAAATCAAAACTTGCAGTTTACTGCTAGCCAGAATTAAGTCATAACTGAATCTCTGTCTGTTTCCGACATAGAACTTTGCACTGATGTGCGCAGTTCTAGTCGCCACACTCCATATAGCACACAAAACAAGAGAAGAAATGCATAATAGAGACAGTAAACAGAGGTGTGAGACAATGGAATAGTAGTAACGAAGAACAAAACAGTTTCATTGGATATTATAAGTCACAAGGAGTGGATGCATCGGCGCCAACCAGCCATTGAGAACGACCAATGTGAGCCATATCACCGACTGTTTCCTGCCTTCACTGGTTTTTACTGTCCCGAGGATCCCAACCAGTCAGTCAGGAAGTCTACGCCTTTCTACGTGGTCTAAACTAGCTGTCGTGGATTTCATTGACCAATGAAGCTATGTTTTCGTTTGACCACCACTCACTATCTCTTTTCCAGTCTGATCCTATGTCAGCCAACATTGCCGGTCGAGCATGGAAGGCGATGGCTAGACTTGCGTAACACATATCCTAACCATCTCAATCGATGCAGGTGCTTCACAGCCTCGTCGATTAATTTCCCCTCCTCCTTATCTAGCACTCGACCGATGCCTAACCCCAGTACTTCTCACCTTATTATACCACTTCACATGGGAGATAGAACGCTGGCACCTATGATCAAAAACAGCTAATCTTTTCATGTCTTCCACTCTCAAATTGTTGCGTCATCGCGATGTGCAAGCCCAACCACCACGTCAAGGTAGCAGTTATCGGTCAGGCATAACTGAATCAATGTATCTAGAGTCAATAACTCAACAATGCGCAGAATCATAATTACCTAGTGAGTCACATATATAAAATGAAGGCTGACGTTGTCATCTTTATGCAGCTACCGTGTGTAGGTGTGTGTGTGTGCGAACCTGTCACTACATAGACTGAAAAAAAAACAAATAGTCATTAATTATTGAGTGATTCACAAACTCCAGTACCGTGGAGATGTGGTCGACTATTTCAACAACCTTACTCTTTACAACTAGGCCACCCTCAGTGGTATCATAAGCATCCAACCATTCAAAAAGTAACTTGTATTGAATCCATTATGGATAAGTTTTTATTTTGATAAACTGTCACACAGTGTTGTACAGTTATGCTAACTGATGCGACCACGTTTCGAGCACAAACTATTGCCACTCATAGTCATATCAAGTTACTCACACAACTTTGTTCTTTTATTTATACACACATGTGTAGAATCGATTAGATATTGGATTACAAATCAATGTGACATAATGTCCATTCAGAAATAATAGTACGAGTGTTGTTGATCAATTGCAGTTAGATGGGAAAAAAGGACGAGTGTGTTTTACAGTCATAATAAGCTACTTGTTAGAATGTTGTGTTTGAATTGAAATAGAGTTTTAACATTATTTATTATCCTCTTCTGATTTGACTGATGACAATAATACGAGTGTTATTGATCAACTATAATCAGATGGGAAATGCGACGAGTGTTGTTAATGCAACAGAAATGACTCAATGCAAATACCAGAGATATGGAGGATATTATTACCGCAGGTCAAATCAGAAGAGGATAATAAATAATGTTAAAACTCTATTTCAATTCAAACACAACATTCTAACAAGTAGCTTATTATGACTTTAAAAAACACTCGTCCTTTTTTCCCATCTAACTGCAATTGATCAACAACACTCGTACTATTATTTCTGAATGGACATTATCTCACATTGATTTGTAATCCAATATCTAATCGATTCTACACATGTGTGTATAAATAAAAGAACAAAGTTGTGTGAGTAACTTGATATGATTATGAGTGGCAATAGTTTGTGCTCGAAACGTGGTCGTATCAGTTAGCATAACTGTACAACACTGGTGTGACAGTTTATCAAAATAAAAACTTATCCATAATGGAGTTATACTCTACCACTACAGTGCCCAAGTTTTATACTTATATCAACTTGTATTGAAACCTAAATACTCAACCATCATACTATTTGGTGTGGAAATTGTAGAAGAATTATCAGCGAAATCGGCAGAAGTTTGCGGAATAATTTGATGTTAATTCTATTGAGAATAGACACAATTATTGATAGATAAACATCTTCGAGTGTCTAACTGACTCAACCAAACCTTCTGAATACATACGTAATTGAGATTACACAACAGATTCCTTCAGTTGACATCAGAACTATCTCATTATATTATATATGGACTGGAGCATGCATCAGACTGTGGGGATCGAGGAGACAGGAATACGCTGGACGACCGATTAGAAATGTTACACAAACTCGAAGACTTACAGACAGACAGGCAGGCGAAAACCAACAAAGTGGATGAAAAGGCAAACAGCGTAGACAGGACTCCAGATGAACATACAGAAGACGGAGGTGATGAGGATAACCAATCAATCAAACAACAACAACAACAGAAACAACTAGCACCAATCATCATCAACGGGAGAGATTTAACACAGGTTACCTCCTTCACTTATCTAGGAAGCATCGTTTCAACCACAAACGGAACGGATGAAGATATCACAGTCAGACAGGGAGAATCGAAAAGACAAGATACGCTTTCATGAACCTGAAACCAATTTGGACATCTTTCACACTCAGTATAAGGAACAAGATTCGCATTTTCAACACCATTGTCAAGCCGGTCGGTCCTTCGAGATGAGTCAGACACTTGCACTGCATGTCACGAAAAGGATTTCCAACAGGTTGCAGACATTCATCAACAGATAACTTCGTTCGATACTGAAGATCAAATGGCCGGCCAATCGACCAGAAAGAATTAGCAACATGAAATTATGGGAACGAACCAACCATGAGCCGATTGTTCAACAAATAGGTAGAAGAAAATAAAGATGGATCGGGCATACATTGAGGCCGTCGAATGACGTCGCATACCAGGTCCTTGAGTGGTATGCAAAATTGGGAAGCGACGAGTGGGTCGTCACTTCGAGGGAGATCGTGTGAGGAAGAGATGAGAGAGTTTGGTCAGTTGAAGAAGACGGTTGAAAAAAGTGGAGATGTGTTGTTGAAGCCCTATGTTCCACTCGGAACCCAAGGGAACAATTATATATGGGTTCAAATACACACATGTAAATTATTCATTAAGTTTAGTCAACGGATTAGACTTTAAGCTAAATCACGAACTGATATGGGTTAGACAACCGGTGAAAACGTGAAAATGCTAATGAGCCATATTTATAAAATGAAGGTTGATATTACCACCACCACCACCACAGTTAACTGAAGCTAGGGGTTCAAACCCAAGAATACATAAGTTGAAAAAGTCAAAAGTCATTAATTCACAAGTGAAAGCTGCATAATGTGAAGATATAGCTGACTGTTTCTGGGTCTTCGTTGTTACTGAGCTCTTCGCTGAAATCACATTTCATCGTATATTATAAACAGGCCATCACCATCCCGTGGTATCATCATAACTATCCATGCACAAATGAAAGAATGAATACAACTAGTATTGAAACCGAGATTGTCATTAATGGACTTAAAATCAACCTTCATACTAATCGTGCGAATAGGTAGGAGAATAATCGGGAAAACTGACAAAATTCTACACAATAATCGATTATCAATCAAGTTCTTTTGGAGTAGACTGACTCATTCATTCATGCATACCATTTTGAATGAAACTCATTGTTATTAGACTCTTGACCTCTCTAGTTATTCTATATGATTACTAGATACATGAATGGGCGTAATATACAATTTTCTTTTCCTTCATGTTCCCAGTGGAACATAGGGCCACTTCAAGCTAGTGGCTTGAAGTTTCTGTAGCAGTGGTGTTTATTTTTACAGGATGGGGTTGCTAGCCTCATGCCCAACCCTTCCTCTTTACCAGCATTATTTCTGGCTTAGCGAGGTAAAGGAGTGCGTCGGTGGCCGGAGATCGAACCCCGGACTATGTGCATGTGCAGCGAGCGTCCTAACCGTTATGCCACCGAAGCACGCAATATACAATTGCATAATATCAACCATTAAGTTGGCTAACATTTCAGACTCTCCACTCTACTCCAAGCTAAACACACACCACAAACTGACATCAATGGGACAAACCATCAGGGCCTACTGAACAGCCGTTCTGTCCAAATTAGAGAATCTTTAGACGCTTAGCGATGAATCAGACAGAGTACATTGTATTCCATAGCTGTAATTAAAATCCTTGAATATACATCAGACAATACACCACAGAGTACTATATTCATTAAATTGTCTCAGCAAGCAGACAGTAAACACACACACATCACACTGAATTAATCAATACTGTAAGAAAATTGTTTTTTACCTTTGACCACACCTTAGAATTTAAACATTAATTCACGTTTTTGGAAACTTTTAGTCACCAACTTACTCTGAGTTATGAAGAACAAGTACTAAGCATGAAAGCATTCCACTGAAGGAATCTTTAACTTTGAGAAATTGAAGTAACCATATATATGAACTGCTCATTTTCAGTTACACCGCTTCTCTTGACAAAGCACTAGGGCTTGACTATGGAAATGATCCCAACAAATTATACTGGCTGGAACTGATGTTCCTGCAGCTCCTACTATGCTAGAAATATCGTTTGGATTGCGGTTAAACTAAAAACAGTTACCATCACATAGTGAAAGTCGTTTAAACTATGTCGGCAGGGGTCTGAAGGCGAAGTTGCGCTGCTGACGAGCAAGGGGGATATAACAGCACTACGGCGTTTCCCTCAGAGAGCCAGCATGACAGCTATGCTGTCTCTTCTCTTCGGGAACGGGGGTTAGAACACGTCGGCCAAGAAAATTACATATCCCATATGCGATAAGATCTTAATACGGACAAAACTACAAAAAGCGCTTCAAAAAAGTCGTATGTAACTGGCTTCAATCAGTTGTCCCCTGGGCCCTGCAGTCAAGCAACACACACACACACCAATGCTCCTCTTGTTTCAGTTACCAAGATAAGTAGAAGAATGGTGGCAAGTTTTCACAATACATGATATTGTGAATTTTAAGTATGACAGAATTAAAACTTGACAGACAAGTACACTATAACAGATAGTGACCAACTGAAAGGTAATGGCACTTAAATCGATAACGAAGAACACAATTCTAACGTTGATTGACTCAAGTGGAAAGGAGAGGCTGTATCAGTTGGCTATCAAAAACCAAAACACCATGATATATCCCAAATTTTTTTAATGAAGGTCACTGAAACGTCTAGACGTCCTGTGGTATATGATGTTCAACAGGTTGCTAGGAGTACAACGCGTCGCCCAGTGGATAACGATTCGATGTTTAAAACGATAAGTGCTGAGGTTCGAGTATCGCTCAAATGGCGACTGCATAGTAGTAGTAGGACGAAATGCTCTTTCTGAATTCCACTACTAGCCACCATCATCAACTAAATAACACCTCGGGCTTCTATTTCTATTTTTTTCTTCAAACTTTCACTTGTGTTCAGAAAGCCTAGTTTATTATATTTTTTTTCACGAATATCAACTGTAGGCGTTCTCATGATATGAAGTGAAATAGTAAAGCATGATGGTTAATTAACTAACTTATTTCGCGAAAATTGCATTAACCTCAATAGATTGATTCCTGACGAAATCTCAGCATGGATAAAAGGGCTCGCATGGCATTTACTGACTCATCATCTCTGGAGCAAACGTCGATATTCGTATATTAATCAAAAGGATGTATAATACATTGTGCAGGAATCCACTTCGTTCACCTCAATAGCTGTGAAGACACGGTCATAAAAAGTAGGAGATATGTATACGACTACAGATAATCACGTTCTATTTCCCATAATGAGTGAATGTTAGGTTACGTAAGGAAGGCTAGTCAATCTATGCAGCTATATCGACTGGGATGGTCAGTATGTGTTACGCATGCGTGCACACACTGTCTCTTTCAGGTCAAGTTGGTCGGACGAAAATCTGGCACAAGTCAATCGGTGAAGTCTTTGACCACTGGTCTGAGCCATACAATACAAATAGGTGTAGATACCGACTGGGTCGGATACTTGAGACATTAAGAAAACTACCGATAGCTTGTGACTTTTGGTGAGATGGCTCACCACCACCAATGGCGCAGATGTTTTCACTCTTCGTAATAATCGCACAGATCTATTTACTCTCAGACTTTCAATAATCGGAACTGTTACAAGACTGGTAGAAAACACTAACACTAATTGTATCTCACGAATAAAGACGACATCATAAAACTAAGGTACGTAGTAAGACTCATGCCCAGTTACGTACTGCTCAGCAGTTCGCTCCCTCCTCCTTTATGGCTCGCTTTGATACCTGGCTATTGAGAGTGGAAGACATGAAAAGATTAGCTGTTTTTGATCATAGGTGCCTGCACTCTATCTCCCATGCGAAGTGGTATAATAAGGTGAGCAATACTGGGGTTAGGCATCGGTCGAATGCTAGGTAAGGAGGAGGGGAAGTTAATCGATCAGGCTGTGAAGCACCTCAATCGATTGAGATGGTTAGGATATGTGTTACGCAAGTCTAGCCATCGCCTTCCATGCTCGACCGGCAATGTCTGTCTGTCTGTTTTCGACAAAGAACTTTGCACAAATGTGGGGAAGTTCAAGTCGCCACACTCCGTGTAGCACGCGAAGCAAGAGAAGAAAGTACAAGAAAAGCATAATAGAAACAGTGAGCAGAGGTGTGAGACAAAGGAGTAATAAAGAAAAACAAAACAGTTTCATTGAAGATCATAAGTCACAGGGAGTGGATGCATCTGCGCCGCTGAGAACGATTTTGAGCCATGTCACCAATTGTTTCCAACCATAGATTTTTACCGTCCCGAGGACCCCAACCAGTCAGGATGTCTACACCTTCCTACGTGGCTTAGACCAACTGTTGTGGATTTCATTGACTGGTGCAGCCAAGTTTTTGTTTGACCGCCGCTAGCTTTTTTCCAGCCTGTCGCTATATCCGCTAACATTGCTCGTCGAGGGAGGCGATGACCAGGCATACGTAACACATGTCCTAACCATCTCAGTCGATGTAGCTTCACGACTTCGTCGATTGATTTCCCCTGTTTACCTAGAACTCTACGCCTAACCTCCATGTTGCTCACCTTATTATGCCACTTTACACGGGAAATAGAACGCAGGCACCTATAATCAAACACAGCTAGTCTTTTCATGTCTTCCACTCTCAGTGACCAGGTCTCACAACCATAAAGGAGGACAGAGCGGACTGATGAGCAATACACCCGCCCTTTGGTCGATAGTCGAACATCTCGTCTACGCCAGAGTCGGCGTAAACTAACAAATGCGAAACGAGCCCCTTGTATTCGTGCTGAGATTTCGTCAGAGATCAACCCGTTGGCACTGGCTGATGTTACTTCCCAAATAAGTGAAGCGGTCAACATGCTCTACCACTTCACTTCCTATTTTTAAACTAGGCGTCGATGTAGTCCAGTCCTGTAACATCATCTTGCATTTGGCGGGAGCGAATCGCATGCCAAACATTCGTAGATTACGGCTCAAGGTGTTTAGAAGACTCTGCATTTTGTCAGCGTCTTCGCCTAGAAGGACTATATCGTCTGCATATTCCAAGTCAACGAGATTATTCCCAGGTAGCAAGTCAATCCCTGAATCGCTGAAGTCACCTAGGGTTAAGTCCATTAACACATCTATGATGAAGTTGAATAGAAAAGGGGATAATGGGCATCCTTGTTGGCTGACATAGGATCAGACTGGAAAAGAGATAGTGAGTGGTGGTCAAACGAAAACATAGCTTCATTGGTCAATGAAATCCACGACAGCTAGTTTAAGCCAGCCACGTAGAAAGGCGTAGACTTCCTGACTGGCTGGTTGGGATCCTCGGGACAGTAAAAACCAGTGAAGGCAGGAAACAGTCGGTGATATGGCTCACATTGGTCGTTCTCAATGGCTGGTTGGCGCCGATGCATCCACTCCTTGTGACTTATAATATCCAATGAAACTGTTTTGTTCTTCGTTACTACTATTCCTTTGTCTCACACCTCTGTTTACTGTCTCTATTATGCGTCTCTTCTACTTTCCTTTCTTGCTTTGTGTGCTACATGGAGTGGAGTGTGGCGACTAGAACTGCGCACATCAGTGCAAAATTCCATGTCGAAAACAGAAAGACAGACACACTCATGCCCAGTATAGAAGATAAACTCTTAAGAAAAATTACTTAATCCGTCTTAATGTCTAAAAAATAATAATAATAATTACAACAGGGATGCAGGCAACAACACAGTTATAAGCACAGTGCAAAAAAAGAGGAGAACCGCATGTGAGAGAGAAAAACAAGCACAAACTAACTAACAAACTTACTGGACTCGGCAGTAGGACGTGGAGGTGCTGCGTTATTATTATTATTGTTGTTAGTATTATTATTATTACTATTATTATTAATCATTTTGAGATCTTCATTATCATTCATCACAGCCGAGGAGACATCACATCCCATACCACCACTCATTGTTGGAAGCATTGTCGCTAAAAATGAAATATCACATAGTAGAACCGATTTGATGATGATATATATATACATGACATATACACTGATGAGGTGTTTTTTTTGCAATGTGCTCAAACGAATGAGTTCATGCAAACAGTGCATATTTAAAAAGTAGAGAGAGATACTAGTCACGCGCGTTGCCAAGAGCATTTTCATCAATAGTGTGGCTGTGGACTCTTTTATCAACAACTGTATTGGTTTTGTAGGGGGGAATTTTCTTTGATTGGTTGGAATAATTTCCTCATGAGCTGACACATCAGTTAGAGTACCATTGGAAAACCAAATCGGAGTACTGGAACAACTGTTTCGCTTTCTAGTCTGGGACACCTCATCAGCATGCACCCACCGGCAGGGTTCGAGCCCAGTAAGGTGCAGCAGGTCGAAGATGAGGCGGTAACTAACCGAAGAAGACATTGCGAAGTGATCGCGTTATGTCATGAGTTGTCAGAAATTAGAATTTATATGACACTGGATCGGGTGTCCCAGTGGCTTATCGGTCTACGAGCTAGCTCGTTTTGTTACCAGAAGGTCCTGGATTTGAACCCTGCCGGTAGATGCGTATTGATGAAGAGTCCCAAACTAGGATGGAAAAGCTGATGTCAGCTTATGATGAAATCCTTCAACGAATCAAACTATCGCTTTCGTTCAATTTAGATCAGATCAGATGACTGGCCGCCAGAAGGGAGAAGCAGGCAACAACGAACTCTGGAAGCAAAACAGACAACAACTTATACCCCGACAAATATGCAGAAGATAATGGAGATGGAATGGAGATATGTTGAAGACACTGATCTTGAAGCGACATCTCACCACCAAACCCTCGAGTTTGACCCTAATGGAAAAGAGGATGGGCTTTGGCATTTGCAGATGGCAGAGAGAGAGGAAATCATGCGAAAAAGAAATGACAGAGAGCCGACTGTGTTCCCCTGACACCTCATAGTTCCATTCGAAACACAAGGAATGAAGATCACCAATAAGACAATAGTCTGTTCCCCTGAAGGGCTTATCAACGTGATCAAATGAGATATTATAATAAACAGGATTGCTTTATTCTAGGTGAGACAGTTGTGCATAGTTAAACTAATAGTATCCAGTTATTCAAATTAACAAGATATTACACTAAGCCACCGACATGAAGATATTACGATATATTATGTAGGGCACTGTGACACTCATATCAATAAGTGGCCTGAGTGTATCAGTTGATAAGAGGAGTGTAAAAGGTGATCTGATGGAGCCGTCCAACGTGCCGGCAGTGTACGAAAAACTGTTATAGCAAAATTTCAAATAGGATTAAAGAAAGAATCTCTATACTACTTAAAAGTCCACCAGTCTATGAAGAATACACTCCTTCAATCGTCGTCCTATAGACAGTAATATGTTTTCAGTTTCGCATAGTTGCTTGTGTAGAAAACTTGTCGTAGCACATGTCAAGTAATCCACAACGGAAAACTCAGTGAGGCGTTTGAAGTAAACACAGGAGTCAGACAAGGGTGCTTATTATCACCCTAATTGTGGTGGACTGACTGGATTGTGCGTCAGACAGTGGGAAACGAGAAGACAGGGATATTCTGTCTGGACCAACGTGAAGAACCTAGAAGACCTGGATTTTGCGCGTGGATGATTTATGTTTGATGTCACACAAAATCGAAGACTTACAAGCGAAAACCGACAAACTGGTCGAAGAAGCAGCCAGCAAAGACAGGACTCCAGGTGAACATAGACAAGACGGAGGTTATGAAAATAACCGACCAACCAACAACAACAGCAGGAGCAACATCCAGCGCCAATCACCATCAACGGGAGGGATTTGAAAGAGGTTACTTCATTCACTTCACTTATCTAGGGAGCATTGTCTCAACTACAGGCAGTGGGAACGGATGAGGATGTCAAATCGAGCGAGAATCGGGAAGGCGAGCGAGAAACACATCAACATCATCAACCTGAAACAACCAATCTGGAAATCTTCGTCACTCAACCAGCATCAACAACAAAATTCGGATTTTCAATACAAACGTGAAGTCAGTCAGTTCTTGTATACGGATCGATCAGAAACTTGGCAAGCGGGTCACAAAGAATATTTCCAACAGCCTGTTGCAGACATTACCTTTATCAACAACTGTCTTCGCTGGATCTATACTCAAGATCAGATGGCCGGGTCGGAAAGAATCACCAACAAGAAACTATGGGGGCAAACAAAACAAGAACCAATGGCCAACCAACAAATACGCAAGAGAAAGTGAAGATGGATGGATCGGACACTCGCTGAGGCCACTGGGTGACATCGTGGGTCAAGCCCTCGAGTGGAAGCCGAAAGGGAAGCGGCGATGGCAGATGTATACTGCTGCTTATCAATTAATCCATTATTCAAAAAAGAAATTGCCAACGAAGCCGCGGGATAGCTGATACATTAACAGTTATGTAGAGACTTGATAAATTCTTCCACCCATACATACGCATTCTAGTGCATTCTAGGGTGGGTGGTAGACTTTTGTCTCTGACACGAAAGTCTTAATGAGAACATTCACGTGACCAGGGTGCCCCTCACAAAAGTCGAAGGATGAATTAGAATGTTAGCCGCTTAAAACCAGAGAACTGGTCAACATATTGGGTGTACATACGGGAGCTGGAGAACCCTGATTTCAAACTCAAGGTGTACAACACAGGTGTTTTAGTCACCATAGTCAGCCATAGAAAGGTAGCTCCTAACGCAACTCTAATGCCGAGTGGATCAAAATTCAAGTCAAAGTCTAGACAGAGGTTGGGCCCCCTTAACACAACCACCACCACAACCTGCTTCGTTCTGGGCGTCTGGGTAGTATCGTATCCCTTGCGCAAACTATAACAGCATATATGTGGCACCTCACCTGATTCCTATACTATACGAAGTTTCTGTTACAGCCATAAACGAGAATTAATCCAGGAGTGTTCACAGAAAATTTGAAAAAAAAATCAAAAGACTGATGGTAGTATATTCAATAGAGTTTATAGTATCTCGAACTGTAGATAGATATATATACATTTGAGGAAGCTTATAGTATACCTATGCAATTCACCGGCTATGAAAGACATGGAATAATAATAATAACAATAATAATAATAAATGCGCAAAAGGAGTCAAATTAGACTATTACTGGCACAAAGTCACATTATACACACACACACACACACGCCCATCCAAAATCATAAATATTCTACAAAATAAGTCGATAGAAACTTACGCTCCGGAGTCAACTGATTCCCACTACAACTTGTTCCAATTGAATTATACAGCATAGGGGAGTTATTCGACTTGATCGTTGTTGACATCAGAGTAGACGGTGCAGAGTGTAAAACATTTTGATTATCTATCATATCCATTGTAAAAGAGGATGAAGTCAGTGGGGAAGTTAAAGGTGTCCCAGGAACAGATACATGCCCCATTGAAGAAGTATTACCAACACCACCGCCACCCATCATTTCATTTGGCATCATAAAATTGGATTGTTGTTGTTGTTGTGAGGAGGAGGAGGATGAGGATGATGAGACAATTACTGTAGAACCAACACCATTTGGAAGAGATGGTGGAGTGAAACGAGCTGGTGGTCTTGATGGAAGCAGATTAGGTGAGGCACAATGCGGGAATCCACTTAAACCATTTGTACCATCAACTATAGATGAAGCACTACTTGATCGTGTTGGTTGATGCATAACAATATCTGCATTTGCTGTTGAAGTCATATAGTGTTCTAAAGGTGAAAAAAATAGACAAGAAAACGTTTGCAGTAAGAACACGTAGATGTCTAAGTTGAATAGCGAACTTTCATAATGATCTACATTGCAACAACGTTAAGAATAGTGTTCTCCAATCACCCACTGATCTGCAGAAGCCTTAAGGACAAGATCGCGCATCTGTCTGTCTGGATTCAACATAGAACTTGGCACCGAAGTGCACCAGTTCAACTTGCCACGTTCCAATTGGCACACAAGGTAGACAAGAAGATGAGTGAAGAGAATCAATAGAGTTTGACAAATATAAGAGTGAAACAGAATGGGTAATGGTAGAAAGGAATATGAAAGATTACAGAGACTGAATACATCTGCACCATTGACAACGATTTTGAGCCATGTCACCTATTGTCTCTAGCCATTGATTCCTAGAGTCCCGAGGGCCCCAACCCGGAAGTCTGCATCTCCCTACCTGACTCATCGCGCATCTGGCCACTTCTATGTGCACCTGCTCCTGTGGAGCTAGGTACATCGGTCGTTCGACGTGTATCCTGCTTAAGAGGATTCAAGAACACTATCCAGTATGGTTCCGAAAGGGCAATAGTGGTGCAATAAGGAGTGCGATAATTCAACACCTGGTTAACACTGATCATTGCATTTCAACAAACGCCACCTGCTTCAAAGTAATCTACAGAGTCAAGAATAACCTATCAAAGGTAATACGGTTTCATCTCCTTTGTATCGCTGAAGCCCTGGCCATTCACATAGAAAAACTGGAGATGTGCATACAAAAGAAGATTACTCAACCACTTCTACTGTCATGGTAACAACTTTTTTTATTTGATTCGAGTTTTTGATTTTGATGACTTAATTTTGTTTCTTCGCCTATTCTTTAATTGTTTATAATTCTTGTATTCATTCAGAGCTCTTACGTCTGTCTGTTTTCAACATAGAACTCTGCAAAAATGTCCGGAAGTTCAAGTCGCCACACTCCGTGTAGCACGCGAAGCAAGAGAAGAAAGTACAAGAAAAGCATAATAGAAACAGTGAGCAGAGGTGTGAGACAAAGGAGTAATAAAGAAAAACAAAACAGTTTCGTTGGAGATCATAAGTCACAAGGAGTGGATGCATCTGCGCCACTGAGAACGATTTTGAGCCATGTCACCAATTGTTTCCAACCATAGATTTTTACCGTCCCGAGGACCCCAGCCTGGAAGTCTACACCTTTCTACGTGGCTGGCTTAGACCAACTGTTGTGGATTTCATTGACTGGTGAGGCCAAGTTTTTGTTTGACCGCCGCTAGCTTTTTTCCAGCCTGACCCTATATCCGCTAACATTGCTCGTTGAGGGAGGCGATGGCTTGGCATACGTAACACATGTCCTAACCATCTCAGTCTTTGTAACTTCACGACTTCGTCGATTGATTTCCCCTGTTTACCTAGAACTCTACGCCTAACCTCCATGTTGCTCACCTTATTATGCCACTTTACACGGGAAATAGAGCGCAGGCACCTATGATCAAAGACAGCTCTTACGTAATCTCGTATTATCTACTTTGTTGTTTCTATGTGCATCCTGAGTAAAACTCACTCATCAAACTATTCATATTATTACATAACTTCTTTTTTTTAACATCTGTTTGTGACAACTCATCACCCTTGTTACTACCCTAGTCTCATTAACACTTTGTATTACCAACCTTCACCTGTTTAGTTAAAATAACCATAACCAAGTGTAATTTTGTTTGACAAACTTAATGTACACATACATACAAAACAATACATGTATATTTGCGATTGTACAGTTAAGGAAATAAATTCGCCGCCTAAAAGAGACTCTTCGCTGATCTACGTGTTTTATTTCCAGAACAAAAACAACAATGCCTTACACGATTCCATTTATTATTATTATTATTACTATTATTATTATGGGTATACTTACCATTTCTGTTAGGTAAATTCGGTGTAGACATTTGACCTTTTGTAAATACTGGCATAAATTGTTGTCCCATCATTTGTGGATGAGGATGATGGTGTTGTAGACTTCTGTTCGGCGCTGAACTTGTATAAAGCGATTGACTAGGAGGCATAGAAACTAATGTTTGATTTGGTTGTTGCATAGAAGATGTCATAATATTATTATTATTGTTATTATTAATATTAATATTATTACCGGGGAAAACACCTTCATGCGATGGCATATTTTGATTTGAATTATTATTACTAACACCACCCCCACCTTGGCCAGCTGATGACATTGGGCCTGGACGGAATTGAAGTGAATTCATTTGCTGTTGTTGTTGCTGCTGGTTAGGATTTAATGACATATTACCGCCTCCTGAATTCATTCCACCGCCACCGCTGAGTGGTGATGACATGATACCGGGACCAGCAGGTGAATCATTCGATCCGGGGAAAGGACCTGAATTCATCATATGCGAAGAAGCCATAACACCGGAATTGGCTGCAGCTGCGGCTGCCGCTACAGCGTCGTATTGTGTGTTCTCTAAACGAGTTATCAAGCGTTCATCTTCATCACCAAAATCTCCACCCATTAGAGTTGGTTCACCAACGATCATAACATCCTTTGAAGAAAACAAAAAAGAAACAATCATATTAAGTTCGAAAAAATAACTTAAAAAACGGAATGTTTTAAAATGAAAAGAAGTAGAATGTAGGACAAAAGTCGTAACTGAATTTATTATTATTATTATTGCCAATCCCTAGGGGGGGCTTCAACAGAGCACCTACATTTCAGTCTGTTCTCCACAGTCCCCTTTAGCTGGCTCCACGACAACCCATAAGCTATCATTTCTTCTTCTTCATCATCTCCATATCACCCTAGGATACATGTCTAACCTGTCGCTTTCCCATTTGATAGCCTCGCTCGAGATGTCGCTCAGCGGTCTCCGACAGTATGTTTACGCTACATCTTCATTTCCGTCAGTATATTTGTTGGATGATAGATCCTTAGTTGGTTTGTTGCCTCAGTTCCTTGTTGCTTATTCTTCATTATGGAGCGGATGACAGCTGTTGATAAGAGTCTACAATCTGTTGCAGCAAACGTTTAGGGGACACAACATTTCTCTGAACTATACGGAAGAACTGACTTATTTTATTTAAAAGCAGAAAAAAATCTTGGTACAATATGCCACCAAGAAAGATGAGCCACACTATTTCGTTCATTGTGTGAGGGCTGAGATACTGGCCGGGCGCCCAGACCGAAGCAGGTAGCTTTATTAAGGGACCAACCCCCGAGCCTTTGACTTGGAGTCTAATCCGCAAGGCAGCGGAGCAGCGTCAGGAGCTGCATTCCCATGGTTGCCGGTGACAAATATGGGTTCATACGCCATTTGATCCGATAAGATGCTGGAGCCCATGTACCCCATGGTAACTGTTTTTAGTCTAACCGCTATCCAAACAACTTTTCTGATATGGTAGGACCTGCAGGAACATGAGTCCCAGACAGTTTAGCTTGTTGGGTCACTGCGGTATTCAAGCCCGACCACGACGGCAAGGTAGCAGTTGTCGGCCGTGTTAAACGAAATTCGAATCTTGTCCTTTATGCTTAATGGAGTAGATTTCCACCATAAATTCAGTTTTGCTGTTTTGATCTTGGCACGCTTCGACATCCTCACCCGTGCCGCATGTAATTGAAACGATGCTTCCCTAGACAGGTGAGAAAGAGATGATTCCCTTCAAATTTCTCCTGTTCATTGTGACTGGTGCTTTTTGTTGCTGTTGCTGGTCGGTGGGTACCTTCATCACTCCTGTCTGTTCACCTGATTTCCTTTCTTCGCCTCCTGCTTCTTCTGTTAGCCCTGTAGGTTTTCGCGTGTGTATGACACTAGACATAAGTCATCCGCGAATCTTTCTTGTCGATTCAACGTATTTCTGCCTTCCCGCTTTCCACACACGGTCTACCTTATGATCCGGTCCACCTCAATCAGGAATATCGTCGTTGGTGAGAGTAGGCAGTCTCGGTACTACTCCAGTCTCAATCCTAAGCAGGCATTATGCACACACGCACACATACAAACACACACAAAGGAATGCAAAGCAACTTACCCCAGGCTGAGCGATATGATGAGACGGTAATGGAATGGGTGATTGTTTACGTTTTGAAGCTCGACCAGTACTATTTGAGCCATCTGCAGTAGCTGAACTGCCTTTACGCTTACGTCTTTTACTAGGCTGCCGTGTAGCTTCTAAATAAAAATAAATGAATGAATAACAACACTACAAATAAAAAGAATAACACGAAATTTTTTTTAATATCTCGTAAAATGAGACTATCCACGATGAACCAATGACCTACACCTAACAGATCACACTGTTTCACCTACCACGTCCTTTTTTCTACCAAAAATCAAAATATACACAACAACATATCGGGAATATGAGACTTTTCTTAGTACATGTGAAAATACCTTCTCAGACGGCTCATTGACTTAAGCACTTGACTTTCAGCCAATGGGTCCCCCACAGGTCGACGGGCAATATTAGCTGGCATAGGGTCAGGTTGGAAAAGAGCTAGCGGTGGTCAGACTAACACATGGCCTCATCAGTCAATGAAATTCGCTTGACCACGAAGCGAGGTATACACTGGCTTCCTGACTGGTTTTGAGGTCCTCGGGATGGTAAGAACCAATGAAGGCTGGAGACAATTGGTGGTATAGCTCAAAGTGATCGTTCTCAATGGGCAGCGGAGATGCATCCATTCCTTGTGACTTATAATATCCAATAAAATTATATTGTCTGCCTGTCTATCTGTTTTCGACATAGAACTTTGCACTGATGTGCGGTAGTTCAAGTCGCCACACTCTATGTAGCACACAAAGCAAGAGAAGAAAGTACAAGAAATGCATAATAGAGACAGTAAACAAAGGTGTGAGACAAATCATAAGTCACATGGAGTGGATGCATCTCCGCCATTGAGAACGATTTTGAGCCATGTCATCAATTGTTTCAAGCCTTCATTGGTTTTTACCATCCCGAGGACCCAAACCAGTCAGGATGTCTATACTTTCTTACTTGTCTCGCTTAAACTAACTGTTGTAGATACCATTGACTCGTGAAGCCATGTTTCGGTTTGACCACCAGTAGCTCTCTCTTTTCCAACCTGATCATATATCAGTCAGCTGACATTACCCACTGTCGAGGAAGGCGATGACTAGACATACGTAACACATGTCTTAACCGTCTCAGTCGATGTAATTTCACAGCCTCATCGATTGATTTCCCCTCCTCCTTACCAAGAACTCGACCGAAGCCTAACCTCAACATTACTCAACCTGTTATACCACTTCACATAGGAGATGGGACGCAGACAACTATGATAAAAGGTAGCCAGCCAGGCTTTGAATGTCTTCCACTCTCAATGGTCAGGTCTCACAGCTAGCCATAAAGGAGGACGGAGCGGACTGATGAGCCGTACACTCACCCATTGATCAACAGCCAGTCGGATATCACGCTTACGCCACAGACGGCGTAAACTGGAATATGCGAAACTAGCCCTCTGTATCCGTGGTGAGATTTCATCGGAGATCAACCCGTTGGCGTTGGCTGATGGTACTTCCCAAATAAGTGAAGCGGTCGACGTACTCTACCACTTCACTTTCTATTTCTAATCTAGGAGTCGGTGTACTCCAGTCCTGTAACATCATCTTACATTGGCGGGAGCGAACTATATTGTTCTTCGTTATTACTATTCCTTTTGTCTCATATCCCTGTCTACAGTCTCTAGTTTGCATATCTTCTCTTGCTTTGTGTGTTACATGGAGTGTGGCGACTCCAGACAGACAGGGTACCGCTGCTGCGTCTATTTCGACCAGGATAACTGGAAAGTAGTATGAATAGCCCTCATAAAATAACTATGTGACTCACATTGCCTACTACTACCATGTAAGATCTAGCTATCTACCACTGGAAAATTCTTCGCCTACTACTCAGAATATTTTAGAAATTGTGTTGTGATATGCTTAAGGTAGATGGTTATTCAATAATAATATTAATAATTTGCTTTATTCCAAAACAGTACTTGTAATACAGAATGGAATTCTCAGAATTTTACTAAAGTATTGCGTCCAGTTAGTACATTAACAATAAATAAATAAAAGTCTACATAGATCAAAGGTAATCTCGGTTAGTTTTGACAACAACATATTGGCATGTCGGTAGCGAAGCCAAAATTGAACAGTGTTTGAAGGTGTTAGAAAAGTAGATACTACTAGCATATTTACTGGCTTAAGCAGAAGAAAGAAACAAAGGAGCACATAACAGAGAAAAGAGAGAGAGAGAAAAGGAAAAGAAAGAAAGAAAACGTTGTACCTATAAGTGATATGAGGAGTTGGAAAGACGAGATCCAGTTGTTCTACTGACTATTTAATAAGTTATAGGTATCACGCCTAATGCTTTCTTCTTTATCGCACAGGACACGAGCTAAGTAGGGTATGGTTGAGTTGTTTTTGTACTTGCTAGTGCGAGCATATAGTTTTCTATATAGGCTTCTGGTTTTGCCTGCTGATGAGAGAGATACAAGTGGAGAGTTGTGAATGAAGAGGGTGGTGGTGTGAGTTAGACAACAAAACAAATCTACAGCAGGATACTTTTAGGGGTATGTTTTCACCTCTGGCCTTATGCACAACGATTAGTAGTTACGATTTCGTGGTTCTCAATGAACAATAATCTACTGGTGTAACAGTTAAGCATTTTCGAGACCATTATTTATATTATTATTATTAAAACACAAACTTGGGAAAATACGGGAACCAAGAGATACGCCACACAGAAATAATAAACAATATATGCGGGTAATAGGGATGGAAAAGGTGAAGGAACTCGTCTAGAAAGCGAGTAAGCATACTTACGACGGTTATTTTTAAAGGATGGTTCATCGTTACACTTCATAGTACTTTCATCAAAGGAAAAGAGGAAATTGCAACATGTTCATCATCATCATCATCATCATCATTGATTTACAATTCTCGACAACATCTGGTAAACTCTTGAGAAACCGATTCGAATTATCTTTCGGGTCCCCAAAAGGGAGTTATGATACACCAAAGGATACTACTACTAACTCAACACACCTTTTATCTTAAGGCGCCTCACACCATGGGATGACTAACCCTCAGCTTTTCCACACAGTCAGTCCTAGGGCTAGCAAAAAATGAGCGGTATGAAATTCGTAGCCACCGAATGATAACACTCGAAGATAACCTCCATCGTGTTCAGATAAAGGCTGCAGGACCTCGAAATTATGTACATAGTGATTCCCAAACTGTTCGTTCCAAGAACGATCGGTTCGCTAAATACACTTTTCCCAAATAATACTTAGTTCTTCCATTATTTATTTATGCGATATATCACACAGTGAAACAGTATTATTTACTAAATGAGGTTTCAAACACAACTCATTGTTCATAATCACATCAATTATAACACAACACAACTTAAAAACACAAAACTCAAGTCTCGAAGCTGGGTAGTCACAATTGATAAATATGGTTGTGTGCAGTGAATTGTGTTCGAAACGTCATCCCGTAATTAATGCTGTTTCACTGTGCGATAATATCCCATCAACAAATTAATATGGAATTGCATACTACAACAGTGCTCAAATTTCACACATATTAAAGTGTTTTATTGCTTTTGGTTTGACCATCGATAAATAGGCGATCTACACACGTGACTGACTGTCGCACAACTAACAACACTCACGCACTATGAGGACCAGTCACAATAATATCGATCGAATTTTTGATACGACAAACATTTGTTTATCAAAGTCTTTCAGTGCCTCAATCAAACTCGCTTTTCATTGACACGGACCCTAGGAAGTCGACTTTCACCCACTAGGGGGGCTCCTGGGTCGCAGACTCGCCCTGTCTAACTGTAATCTCTGCACAACTGAGCATTACCAACCACCTTCACATAATGAGTAGGTTTCATGACCTGGAAAGTGGAAAACTCGCTCCAATCAACCAATAACTACCCACACCTCACTAATTAACATGCACTATTAATCCTTAAACAAAGGTACAATATTAGGGAATATATAATTGCCAGACATCACCCTCCCCCCATATCAGAAAGACAAGCTTAGTAAGGTAACTATTCCGTAATAGAAATTTAGAACAAAAATCATATCATAATAGAATAGTAAGTCATACAAAAAAAGGAGGCAACAGTAAAGAATAGACACCAAAGTCAAACACGACCCAGAGCCAATCAATCAGATCGCTCAGCAACTAAAAAAAATTGATTCTTTCCATAATCTTCGTTGTAAGTTATATCTTGATTCAGGGTTAAGTGGGTAGGGTAGGACTAAGGTGCCAGGGTGAAACTTTTAACGAAGATTATGGAAAGCATCCATTTGTAATGCTGAGCAACGATCTGATTGGTTGGTTCAAGGTAATTTAAAGCTATGGTGTCTATTCTTTATTATTGTCAAAAAGAAGACAGAAGTCTGCAATGAATCGCATTTTAAAGTGAAACATGAAGCATACTGACTGATGTATATGTGATGAATACAATTACTTATTTTCTTAAAATTCAGTGGACAGTGTGGAAATTTACTTATTTATTTCGTACATTATTTTAAAATTATCTTTAATTATAATCAAAGTATATGATATCCCTCGGTGTACAGAGGCATACGAGTAATATTTGTCGTATGAAGGCAACCACCTCTGTTGGCTGGAGTGAAGCAGGAAAAGGCGACATTCAAGCCTACAAACCTATTGTGGTTTGTAGACAAGTGCTAAAGCCAATGCAGTCACACATTTCCACTAACCACTTAATGTTTTAAAAGATTATCTGCCCGTTTGTTTTCGACACGGAACTTTGCACCGATGTGCGACAGTTCGAATCGCCACACTCTATGTAGCACACAAAGCAAGAGAAAAAAGTACAAGAAATGCATGACAGAGACAGTAAACAGAGGTGTGAGACAAAGGAATAGTAATTACGAAGAACAATATAGTTTCATTGGAAATCATAGGTGACAAGGAGTGGATGCATCTCCGCCATTGAGAACGATTTTGAGCCATGTCATCAATTGTTTCAAGCCTTCATTGGTTTTCACCATCCCGAGGACCCCGACCAGTCAGGATGTCTACACCTTCTTACTTGTCTGGCTTAAACTAACTGTTGTAGATACCATTGACTGGTGAAGTCATGTTTCGGTTTGACCACCACTAACTCTCTCTTTTCCAACCTGATCATTTATCAGTCAGCTGACATTACCCACTGTCGAGGAAGGCGATGACTAGACATACGTAACACATGTCTTAACCGTCTCAGTCGATGTAATTTCACAGCTTCATCGACTGATTTCCCCTCCTCCTTACCCAGAACTCGACCGAAGCCTAACCTCAATATTACTCAACCCGTTATACCACTTCACATAGGACATGGAACGCAGACAACTATGATAAAAGGTAGCCAGCCAGGCTTTGAATGTCTTCCACTCTCAATGGCCAGGTCTCACAGCTAGCCATAAAGGAGGACGGAGCGGACTGATGAGCAGTACACTCACCCTTTAATCAACAGCCATCCGGATATCACGCTTACGCCACAGACAGCGTAAACTGGCATATGCGAAACTAGCCCTCTGTATCCGTGGTGAGATTTCATCGGAGATCAACCCGTTGGGGCTGATGGTACTTCCCAAATAAGTGAAGCGGTCAATGCGCTCTACCACTTCACTTCCTATTTCTAATCTAGGAGTCGGTGTACTCCAGTCCTGTAACATCATCTTGCATTTGGCGGGAGCCCATCGCATGCCAAACATACGTAGATTGCAGCTCAAGGTGTTCAGAAAACTCTGCTGCATTTTGTCAGCGCCCTCGTCTAGAAGTACTATATCATCTGCATATTCTAAGTCAGCAAGATTATTCCCTGGTAGCAAGTCAATCCCTGAGTCGCTGAAGTTAGTAGTTGGGGTTAATTCCATTAGTACATCTATGATGAAGTTGAATGGGAATGGGAATAACGGGCATCCCTCGGTCGATTCTGTCGACCGAGAGGTACTCTGGCTCTAGTTACACTAGTACTCTGGTTTCAAAAGATTAATGTTTTCAAATACGCTGAGTAATGATTAGAGTTTCTCATCTTAGAATTCATCTCTTGTACTTAATTGACAGGCAACGAAATAGAGTGATACTACCATATTATCCTGCGCATCGGTGGTTCAGTGATAAGGGGTGCTTGCAAACCATGCAAGTGGTCCGGGTTAGATTCCCTCACCCTCCTCGACACATAACTAAGCTTTACTTGTCTGGTATAGTGGATCTGGTAAGGAGGGAAGGTTCGGAGTGAGGCTAACAAAACCACCCGGTAAAAAGGAACACCACGATCACTGAGACTTCCAGTCGGAACGCAAAAAATAAAACATCATTCAACATCGCTTGTTATTCTTGATTTGTTCAAGTTCACCAACCGCAGAACAAAAAAACTGTATGAACTTCAGTAAACCACTTACAACAGATTTTAAAAAAAGGTGTTTAAACAAACCTTGAGGCATCATTCGTTGCCATTTCTGAAACAGAGTAGTCTTAAGACAATCTCTTGGAGTAAGACTATAGGCTTTCTGACGAGACATTAACTCTTGCATTGGTTCCAGGATGACACATAAACGGAAGAAATTCAAGGTGGCATTTGTCATACCATAGCGTGTAATATTTTTAGACAGTTGATCTAAAAAGGCTGGATCCTGTGGAGAAAACAAAACGCAAAGATAAACACATGAAAAACCGTTGAAGGCTAGATAGAATATCAGAAAAACAATGCATCCTTTCTAAATCATGTCAAAAAGGGATTAAGCAGTTGAAGCTACAAACTCAAGCGAGAACAACTAGCTAGAGAACCACTGAAAACTAGGGAGCACTGGACAGTTGCTTCATCCTAGCTTGGGACTCTTCATTAGTGTGTACCAACAAATCAACAAGGGATCCCATCAGAGACCTTTAGGTTGTGACCAAGCTTACTGACTATTCAATGACTTGGGGGTCAGGATTCAGTGTTCTGTGAACTTTGGCTTTGTCAATAAATCAAATTTGAAGAATGCAACCAACCTCAGTTGTGTCAGTGATGAAACTGATGCATCAAACTTTTTTTCCTTCACGTTCCCCAGTGGAACATAGGGCCACTTCAAGCTAGTGGCCTGAAGTTTCTGTAGCAGTGGTGTTTATTTTTACAGGATGGGGTTGCTAGCCTCATGCCCAACCTTTCCTCTTTACCAGCATTATTTCTGGTTTGGCGAGGTAAAGGAGTACGTCGGTGACTGGGGACCATGTGAATGGTCGGCAAGCGTCCTAACCGCTATGCCACCGACGCACGATGCATCAAACAGAAATAAATAATTGTAGAATACGATTTTATTAAGTGAATATAAACCTAACTTTAGAAAAATATATGATGATTTATGGTTAATCCATTGTTGGCGTCAACTCTTTTCGAAAATCTTAAAAACCAATGCCGATTAACACCCAAGGTAACATGTGATCTATAACCCTTAGGGGTGATGACAAGGATACATTGAATGCACTTATTGTTTCACCAAGTGAACTGGAATTTCAGTGTACAACTTTGCACAGAAGTGCAACGGTTAAACTTGCCATATATCATAAAAAGCGCGTAGAGAGGTGGAGAAAGAAATGAGAAAACACTAAATTGAACAGGAATGTATTGGGAAAACAATCGTATGATGAATAAAGATAATTTAACAGTTCGAGGAGTTTATTAAGAGGGAATACATTAGTGACAATGAGAACAATTTCAAATCATATCTGACTAACTGGCCTCAACACAGAACAAACAACTGAGATGGTTAGGACAAGTGATACACATGCCTAGTCATCGCCTTCCTCGACAGTGGGTAATGTTAGCTGACCGATATGTGATCAGGTTGGAAAAGAGAGAGCTACTGGTGGTCAAACCAAAACAGGCCATGTGGGGATGTGTAGACTTCTTGACTGGTTGGGGTCCTCGGGATAGTAAAACCCAATGGCTGGGGGCAATTATTTATTTTTATTTTTGATTACAGCTTGATTCCACACCGTATTTTTGGTACAAGTATGGAATTTTTAGCATGGATATCGGTAGCCCAAATTTTGCAGACCGACCATAGATTTCAGGTGTGCGTCGGCAGGGGATCCAACCTCGGACCATGTGCATAGTCGGCGAGAGTCCTAACCACTGTACCACTGATATGGCTCTAAGTGATCGTTCTGAATAGCTAGTACAGATGCATCCACTCCTTGTGACTCATAATACCCAATAAAACTATAATATCCTTCGATATTACTATTCTTTTTGCCTCGCACCTCTGTTTACTGTCTCTATTATGCATTTCTTCTACTTTCTTGTCTTGCTTTGTGTGCTACATGGTGTGGCGGCTTGAACTGGTGCACATCGGTGCAAAGTTCTGTGTTGAAATTAGCCAGTCAGCCAACATAGAACTTTGCACAGAAGTGTGGAAGTTCGAGTTGTCACTGTAAATGACGCACACACCGGAAGACAAAAGAGAAAAAGAGAGTTTGCAATACGATAATTAGCTGAAATGCGAAGAAGAAACATAGAGAAATCATGGGGTCTTTTTGAATATGTCAGATCAAAGAGAATGAATGCATCTGCGCCACTGACAACGATCTTGGGTCATATCACAAATTTTCTTCACCCACTAGTTCTTATCATCCCAACGACTCCGACCAGGTAGTCTACACCTCCCTAGGTGGCTACCTCAAACTAACTGTTACAGTTTGCATGGACTGGTACTATGTTGTGGTTTGACTACCAATAGCACTTTTCCAATCTGATCCTATATCAGTCAGTTAACCTCAACCGTGGAGGAAGGCGATGACTAGGCATGCGTAGCCCATGTCGTAACCATTTCAATCGACATAGCTTCACAATCTCACTAATAGATTTTCTCTTCTTAGTCTAACCTTAGTATTACTCACTATTGACTCCTAGCTTAAATATAGGGAGTGAAAAGGCAGAGAGGGTTGACTACTTCACTTATTTGGGAAGTTGTGCCATTGTATGTGGAAGACATGAAAAGCCTGGTTAGCTGTCTTTCATCACAGGTGTCTGAGGTTCTATCTCCCATGTTAGGTGGTAAAATAGGGTGACCGACATAGAGGTTAAGCGTTGAGTACTAGGTAATGAGGAAAAATCAATCAACGAAGTCGTGAAGTTACTTCTTTTTTATTTACAGCTTGATTCCACACTGTATATTCGGTACAAGTATGGAATTTTCAGCATGGATATCGGTAGCCCAAATTTCGCAGGCCGACCATAGATATCAGGTGTGCGCCGGCGTGGGCTCGAACCCCGGACCATGTGCATGGTCGGCGAGAGTCCTAACCACTGCGCCACCGATTGAGACGGTTAGGACATGTATTACGCATGCCCCAATAGCCATCGCCTTCCTCGACAACAAGCGATGTTAGCCAACTGATATAGGATCAGGTTGGAAAAGAGAGTTACAGTGGTGGTCAAACCACAACATGGCCCCATCAGTCAATGAAATTCAGAAGTTACTTCAAATCACCCGACTACGTAGGGAGGTGTAGACTTCCTGACTGATTGGGGTCCTCAGGATGGTAAAAACCAGTGGCTGGAGACAATTGGTGATATGACTCAAAGTCACCATTGTTCTCAATGGCTGGCGCAGACGCATTCACTTTTTGTGATCTGTCACACCCAACATACCTCTATTGTTCTTCCATGTTACTATTCTTTTTGCCACACATTTCTGTTTATTATCTCTCTCTCTGTTTTGAATCTGTCTTTACTCTACTCTCTTGCTTTGTGTGGTAGATCGAGTGCAGCAACTCGAACTGCTGTACGTCTGCGCAAAGTTCTGCGTTGAAACCAGCTAGTCAATATCATTCACCCTATCATATCACCAACAGTATCAGACAATGACACCTACTTATCTTCGTTTGCAGGTTATCAACAACCCTAACCACAGTAAACTGAATTGATGTCGTGCTCATGTCTCAGCTTTTTAGAGTAGAGTCCTTTTTTTCTGTCTTTGTCTACCTTTGTATGAGATATAGGGAGTGTGGCAACTTGAACTGATGCATTTCTCTGCTAAGTTCCACGTTGAAACTCAGTGAGTCAGCGTGTATTTTTATAAAAGAATTAGTAATTCAACTACCCGTTATTTTGCTTTCCGATGATTTTTATCATTATCTATTTTGACACAGACTTGATGAATTATGAGCACCAAGGGGGGAGCCACACAAAAAAAAAGAGAACACAGTATATGAAGGAAATAATTTAAGAACAGCATCATAAAAACAGGCTAACATACTCACTAAGAGCATTCAGAGGAGCGTACATTACTCCATGTTACTTTCAAAAAGAGGAGAAAGGGAAATTGGAGCATATTCTCCACTGATCCGAATTATCTCCTGGATCCCAACCAGGGAGTCATGATGTAACAACAGTAGATACTAAACTAACACAGCTATCTTTCATCTCATGGTGCCATGTCATGAGCTGAGCTGCCCCTCAGCTTTTTCCACCTAGTCTCAAGGCTAGGAAACAGTGAACGGTATGGGAGCCGGTAGGATAGCATTTACAGTATATGTCCAAGTTACGGAAGTCGGTGTTACAAGGTGACAACACCCACAGAAAGATGATGTACACTGTGTACAAACATTCCATCGGACCTCAGAATTGTGTACACAATGATGCCACCAGATGCAAGCAATTCCAAGGGGGTAGCAGTGACCAGATAAGCACGGACGTTACATATGCTCAGCTCGAAAATGACGGTTTCAGAAGTGCAGGGCCAGACTGCACGCTCTCGAACCTTGGCGGTTGGGCTAACATCACAACAGTACCAAAGGTGACCCATATTGTGATCTGCAGCCTCGGTTTTCACTACACAGATATCTCGTCTGTTACATCTCCATCTGCACTAGTACAACTACCTAAATATACGAACTTATCCACTTCTGAAGGTACATCTGCGAAAATGATTACAGGTAGAGGCATTGTTAGCTGATATAGGTTCAGGTTGGAAAAGAGCCAGTGGTGGCCAAACAAAAACATGGCCTCATCAATCCATGAAATCCTTGACAGTTAAACTGAGTCAGGTAGGGAGATGCAGACTCCCGGGTTGGGGCCCTCGGGACTCTAGGAATCAATGGCTGGAGACAATAGGTGAGTGACATGGCTCAAAATCGTTGTCAATGGCGCAGATGTATTCAATCTCTGTAATCTTTCATATTCCTTTCTACCATTACCCATTCTGTTTCACTCCTATATTCGTCAAACTCTATTAATTCTCTCCACTCATCTTCTTGTCTACCTCTGTGTGCTATTTGGAACGTGGCAACTCGAACTGCTGCACTTCAGTGCCAAGTTCTATGTTGAATCCAGACAGACAGACAGAGGTTCCTGTCAATTTTTCAACAATACTTTGCACTCGGACGCCACAAATCACGTATTACACCTACACATCCACTAATCACCGGCTGATCATGTGATATTTAGGTATTCTGCACTTTATAGAACAGTAAGACGACATCGTCTGCATACTCAATGAAAGTCTTTCTCCGGGCAATGAGCTTACATTACTACCACACACATCCTTAGGAGCTGTTTTCAGAATGTCATTAGTGGCAAATTCCAAGAGATATGGTCATACTGTAACCCTGCCTGACTCTATTACCTAACAACAGTGGTGACAACTAGTTGCAAGTCGTCACCATACCTGAGATTTTTTGTATACAGCTTTCAGAGTGCTGGCAAGCCTCACGGGAACATCTCTAACTGACAACTCAAATTAATCGAAAGCAGCCATAATATTAATAAATGCAGCAATTTGCGCCATGCAATACATGTGACGATGTTTCAGTAACTGACTCTTGGTGACTAGATGATCAGCGGATCCACACAACGTGAATGAAGACTACTCTTCGCGAATTTCTCACGCACTTTACAAAGCCTGTGGAACGGGCAGCAGACAATATTTTATTCATGACTGGTAACAGATAAATACCCCGATGAATATAATGATTTATGGGCATCCTTATATCTCTGAATTAAAACTTAATGCACTTTATGCATACACTCAAAAATACATAACGGATATATTCAAATACACATAAAGACTTACTTGAATCCCCAACATAGATCTCATTATCATTTCGCGATGCGTTCGAATGAGGAAAATCCAAGACCGAATTCTCATTAAGTCATCAAAGGCGAAATCCAGCGTCAATCGACCTTCCACAACAACTGTAACGGGAATAGATCTGACCATAGTCATAGTCATTGTAGCAGATTCTGAGTCCAGTGTTAAAATTGGATGGTGAAAATATTCATGGTTTAGTCTAAGGTTATAGTATAGTTCACCGCATCCACTTTCAAAGATACTGCGGAAATAACGAGGGATGAGTGTTCTTCCGATGGCTAACAAAGAAATATAGTAATACAAAAAAACCTACTATAACTTTTTGGACCTTCTTCTGTGAGGAAAGCTAGGGTAAGAGTTGCATCATCTTCGAAGAAATCTGTAGCAAACGACTCCCACCACAAGCTATCACAGTCCTAAAAATAGGTTAGTGTCTTGGAAAACATGTACAGACATACGTCGCTCCGTTGTTGTAAACGCTTATTCATTTCAAATATTCGTAATTCTGGTTGACCTATGAGATGTGGTAGCCGGTTTCTAAAATAAAAACAGAAAAATATCTTCAAGTGAGAAAATTCCATCACAGAATTTTATTTGGTAAAAAATATAGTGATACAGTTATTATTTACTGTCAACGTCTCGAGAACAATTTACTACTCATAATCAAATGAAGTCAACGACTGGAGAACTTCCATATATATTTTGCACGACCAAATGAGAAGACGGGTGAGACTTTAGTCAGTGTAGCAGGATGTACCTTGATTTTAGGTTAGATCAAAGAACAGGATATGATATATGAACGGATTTCAAAACACCACCAACTGCAGTCATTTTAACAGTTTTATGGCACAGTGGTTAGGACTCTCGCCGACCATGCACATGGTCCGGGGTTCGAGCCCTCGCCGACGCACACCTGATATCTATGGTTGGCCTGCGAATTTTGGGCTACCGATATCCACGCTGAAAATTCCACACTTGTACCAAAAAATACGGTGTGGAATCAAGCTGTAACCATAAAAAAAAAATTCTGATTAGTTGCTCAAGATTTGTGGAAGGGTCGATCAGGGGGGCTGTAATAGTTTCACTTTGCCATTCCGACAATTCATTCATAAGATAAAAACATTGAAATTATATTTGCTGGATGCCTTCAATGATGCATTATTAGTAACCTTATATGGATGAAAGCATGAGCACAATACAACAACGCTTCGACGAACAAAAAACAAGGTGAGAAGACGTCATTTATTTTCTGCGAAAGTCGACAACAATTCCCACAGAATTAAAATGTGTTCATGACTACACGAGACTCTAAAACCAGTAATACGGTTAAAAGCATTTAGCAGCAAGCACATTTTGTTCTTGATTAAGCTTCGCAGGGTTTACAACTTGCTACACTAACTTCAATAGACAACCGACGTCGGGTTTGGGGAAATAACAATACTAAGTCATTTCCTTATATAAAATACAGTAAGCCGACCAATATAAATACTGACTAAAATTTGCAAGAACACAAAAATGTACCTCAGATTTGTACGAGGTGAGATTACCTTCAGCTAAATATTAGTGAGAAGAGAAGACTAAGTACCACCTCATCGATACACTTTTACATTTTGGAGCTAACTCATCGCAGCGAATGTTCGAGCTTGAGTGATAGGTTGTTACGTTTCTAGCAACTAGAACTAACGAAATGTGCCGAGTTTCGCACTAATTTCCTAGCCAGTTGGCACTAATCATTTGACTGTTAATCAATTAGGCCTGAATTCGAAACCCGCTGCAACTAAAACGCTATTGACATCAGAGTGGTATGGTAGGGTTGCTGAGGTGCACTACTGGTTTCTATTACACAGTAGAATTTAAATGTCGCCTCTGAATTTATCCATCAGGCAACAAAATATTTAAAAGATTTCAAACATTTGTCCAAACAGTATAAACAAGCTTGTCCCTAGTGGATTGCCGAGACTCAATGCTTGCTTCAAATAACTGATACTTTAGAATATAGCACATCTGACAGATATAAGCTGCAATGGCGGAGCAACATGGTTTCCTGCAGACTAATACCTCAGTTGACATTTGACTAGCATTTACAATGTGCACGACACTTACCATTGCAGTTGTCAGGTTTCGCTCTGTTTTTGTGCATGTCAGTACACTGCTTTGTAGGCCGAATTCACCGCGGAAACAATACAGAAGACTTACGTGTCGAATTAGGGGGGTTACACATGACACAGAAATGGTGGCCAAATGCCTTAGCAGCCAACATCCACCTTCACCAACTATTACCTAACACACAACAGCTTGTATTTCATTTGTGAATAACAAGTTGATTGGCAAAATAATTCCAAGAGGTCGGAATCACACAAAATGCTGAGTGAAACCCTAATGACTTTAGGGTCCTTTAGGCCATTATACATGTGTAACTTTCATCGTAGGTAACCATAATGGTCTAAGCAACAGGCCCCAGAAAAACCCTTGGTGAGTTGACAACAAACCACAACTAATGCATGTAAAGACAATATTTACCAAAATGTACACTACAACCTTTTTCATATAGGCTTCTGAACGCCACTTTTCGTGCCATTCGGCCACTGCAAATACCAAATGCAGTGAGCAATGAAAATACAAACATCTACGAATACATGGAGCAAGGGTTAAGGGTTGAACATAACATAAACAGATATATAAACACCCACAAACAAAAAAGGTAAGTTAGTCTTATGCGCTACAGTATTCCGCAAATTTGGTTGAGTGTCATGGAACAACTTAGAAGCCAAGGTGATGTCCACACCTTGTGTAAGGGACAGACAATGGTTTCGAAAACTCATTACCAAATCAACAAGGTAGGCAATCCCTAAAGTCAAAAGTTTGATTTGTTTAATGTACAAACTATATGGTCCAATGAGTACACCATTAATAAAGGACTTACAGAGAGAACAGTGGATGGTGATGGAATTGACTGGGATGGCCATGTGAAATCATGTTTGGGATGGGATGTGGGGAACCGGGATTCATACCAAGAGCAGAAAAGTAGTGCCCTGGTATTTGACCGGAGCCAGAGACTGGCGTAGGAGGTTCACGGTCATGCGGGCCGGACATTGGCATAGAGTGACCCGAGTGAGACAATCCTGGGTAATATTTTAAATTAGAAAATGCTTCATACCAGGTGGAAGGGCATTCGGTATATTTAAGGAACTTGATATCACCGGGCCTGAGTGGACTGGTTGCATATGGAGTGGGGGCTGAGGCCCACCACCCCGATCGCCGAAGGCATTCGGTTCATAGGTGATTTTGAAGGGAAGTTTGCCGCATGGGGAAAATTCACAAACTTCTCTGGGTATTCCGAAATGTTAGGATCCAGCGTTATTAAACCAACAATCGAATTCGCAGACTTCAATGAGTCAACCAAAATGGAGTCGTCCTACAGGAGAAAAACAGAGAAGTTAAACAAAGTTGGTGACTACATGTAACTTGCTTACGTAGAAGGACCAAGTACTTATCTGTGGTTCAAAACAATTCTGAGATTATTTAGCTTATCACAGCCAGTAAATATTATTTAAATTCACCTAGTGACCCGCTTTTTCCAGGATATCGCCCATTTTCCACAAAGCGGAGAAATCCAAAGTTTTGAATATCAAGGCCAAGTTCAAGTACAACCGCCATCCGGCTAAATCAGTTATATGCAAGCTAATCCTGGCAACAATAGCAAGTATATACATTCATATCTATTTGGAATCGGCCAAAAAGGTGACTCAGCAGGAAGTCAGTCACTGATATCAGAGTAAAACTTGTGCACTATGGTAGAGTATAATTCCATTATGGGTAAAATTAATTTTGATAAAGTCCCACAGTGTTATACAGTAATATTTATGGGTGATGTTTTGAGCACAATTTATTGCTCATAATCATATCAGTCACCTAGATATGAGTTGGGAAGTTGAAGATTCCCAAATCTCTGTGGGTGAAATGTCGAAGCGCCAAACTGGCCTAACAGTTATCTGCACTAGTGCACGAAGTCTGTTAAAAAATGGAGTTGACTGTCTAGTACGGTTGACTCTGGAAACCCAAAAGTCACCACCACCAAAGAATTGTGGCTAAAATACGAAATCAGCAAAAGTGACTTTAATCTTAGGAAATCCATAGTGCATGTGACAGACTGACTAAGCCGCAGAAATAGCTATCTACTGCTTTATGTATCACTGAAGTTCCGTACGTTAAACTGGACCACGCGAACTCATACTCTTCAGTCTGAAATGTAAAGGATAAGACATCGGCCTCAATGTAACACTGTCGTCCCAGTTGCACTGTAAACTACTTTCTCGTAGAAAGAGTGAGTTCACCGACATCCACGTATCAGACCCATGATTGGTGATTTCGACGTCCCACTAGCTGACTGCATAAACCTTACAACAATATTCCCAGATAATTCCTCTGATCGGCTATCTTTTAGCATTTCAAGAGAACTACGCGTTGTGGTTCGTGGCAGTCTTCCTCCACTTCGACCTGTTTTTCTCCCACACTGAGGATGTGAACACCAAGTAGCACCTGCTGCCAGGAAAATTGATCATGCTATACATGAGTCTAAGCTGTATCAGCAACCTTAGTGTGTCGGTGGCACAGTGGTTAGGACTCTCGCCGACCATACACATGGTCTGAGGTTCGATCACCTGCCGACGCACACCTGTTATCAATAGTCGGCCGGCAAATTTTGGGCTACCGATATCCATGCTGAAAATTTCACACTTATACCAAAAATAAGGTGTGTAATCAAAAAAATTTTCGAAAAAATTCTTTAAAAAAAGCCTCAGCTGGACCAGACATGTTAAAAGCCAACGCAAGTGCCACCATTTCTTCAGCCCCCTCGCAGAAATAGGAAACATCGGGAATCTCATGAGGCGGCTGTGTGGACACAATGCATCTTTCAGCCGGGTTATACCAGCCCTTCATATCATGTTCTGTCGCAAAGAATCAAAAACACTAGCCCCCATCACCAAACCGGGAGATTCATGGACTACTTAAGCACAGGCACAAATCCTAGGATAAATCTGTCACAATCGCGACTTTAGAGGTCAAGAAGCTTTGCAATATAGCCAGAAATAAAGCCATTGCGTGGAGTCGTCAACTGTCGATGAAGTTAGAAGTGCATTTAATTCAAGATGTAGTCACAACCCAGAGAAATATTTTTCTACACGAACTGTAGGAATAAGATAACCGATGGGGTCCCAAACCCGGCCACTGACACCGACACAATCGACAAAGACCAGAAGCATTCGTAGAACATCTCACTAGGGTCTTCACACAGGAGTCGTCACTCTTTGAATAAACAGCTCTAGGTGGGTAATGGTGAAATAGGCTGAATCCCGTCGACATTCCTGAATAAGCTAGACACAGAGATATCAATGGAAGCCGATAAAATTCACCTTGGGCCACTCAAAGAACAGGCAGGATACGTAGTTGGTTTACTGACTACGATCTTCAAGTTTTTTTTTTTTTTTTTTTGATTTACAGCTTGATTCCACACTGTAGTTTTGGTACAGTATGGAATTTTCAGCATGGATATCGGTAGCCCAAATTTTGCAGGCCGACCATAGATATCAGGTGTGCGCCGGCGTGGGCTCGAACCCCGGACCATGTGCATGGTCGGCGAGAGTCCTAACCACTGTGCCACCGACGCACAGTAACCCTCACTCACAATTGAGAATCTAGAAAACGCTATTCAAAATACAGGCCTATTAATCTTTTCCGGACCTTGATTAAAACACCAGAAAAACTAACTGGGAAAGCTGCCATGACATACCAGGAAGACTAGCTGTAACAACAAAAATTTAAATTAAAACGACTAGTCCCTTTAATAAATTTGAATAAGACATTAAGAAGACAAATTTCGCTAGATGATATCATTCCGTAGTTTCTTTGCAACCGCTTTACAACTAACATGGTCAACAATAATAAAATAAAGTTCGTGGCAATTACTCAGTTGAATAAAAAACAAAAGTACATACTAATGACCAGTCATATTTAGATAAGTCATGTTGTCCATGGTAGCCGAAGATTGAAGTCTATTGCTTTGACTGTACACACAGTTTAGGCTGTATGTGATTAATCCCCTAAAGTGCTTCCATCACCTTCAATAACCAGCCTTGAATTAGAGTTATATGAGATAATTGCAAAAAAGTCATCAATATTGATTTTGTGACCTGACATTAATAAGTGTTTTGCAACGGATGATGCTGGATTTCTATTCAAATCAATCGCGTTGGGATTTTCTATATGATTTAGTAGTCATTTTGGAACATGTTCTTTTCGACGACGACATTGGAACATTCTGTTGGTTCTACTTATGCATCTGTCACCGAAGCTAGAGGTGAACTTGCAGATACAGTTTGAAGTAGAGTCCATAGAATTTCGTCCTTTAATAGTAGGTGTACAGTGATCGAAAATGTTCGACATGTAAGAGAAAGAGATTCGACGGTATAGAATTTGCGTCTGATGGCTGACCGAAGTCTTTGAGCTAGCTGTCAACTGGATAATCTGACCACTTTCGAATGGTAGGTTAATAAAGATAGCTTTCTTTGGTACAGAAGCTGTCTTTTCGAGATGTGGTTTTTCTTTGCTGTGACAAGTGATAAAGTTCTCCGGATAACCATTGGCTAATAAAACTGAATGTATGTGTCAAAAATGAACCATCAATGTGTCGCTCGTGCATATTTTTCGGACCCTTGAGAACAAACATTTCACTAGGGAACGTTTATACTGGTTAGGAACAAAACTGGTAAAATGAAGATATTGTCCACTCCATGTCTGTTTACGAAAAATAGATCGTTGAATCGTTCCATCATCTCTCCTAGTCATAGTAATATCCAGGAAATCGAGTTTTTTATTGGATTCTAGTTCGGAAGGTCACAAAATCAATATTGATGACTTTTTTGCAATTATCTCATATAACTCTAATTCAAGGCTGGTTATTGAAGGTGATGGAAGCACTTTAGGGGATTAATCACATACAGCCTAAACTGTGTGTACAGTCAAAGCAATAGACTTCAATCTTCGGCTACCATGGACAACATGACTTATCTAAATATGACTGGTCATTAGTATGTACTTTTGTTTTTTATTCAACTGAGTAATTGCCACGAACTTTATTTTATTATTGTTGACCATGTTAGTTGTAAAGCGGTTGCAAAGAAACTACGGAATGATATCATCTAGCGAAATTTGTCTTCTTAATGTCTTATTCAAATAATAATTTACTTTCATACAAAAATATGAATTCATATGAAAGGCATGCAATTTTTAAAGGCAACGGATAGGATATAAATGAACATTATAAAACGTTGATGAATTAGTGCTATCTCAACAATTTAAGTAGTTGAATTATGACACAAACTTTCAGAACATGACCATATGAATGCTAAATTGTGGAGCCATCATCAAGGCCAAACAGGCAACCCAAACAATTCTCGCTTCCTACGGGTGAGTTCACTGAACCAATCAACAACCTGTATTTAGTTACGCACACCCATCCTAAGCAAAAGGGTAAGTCACATCATTCTAGAGAATCAGAAACGCACCGGATGAAAAACTCAGGCCTGAAGAGGCTGGATTCAGAAGGAACAAGTCATGCATCGATCAAACCCCAACACTTCGGATAATCACTGAACAAAGATTGTGATGGCAGTCAGTCAACTCTCTATCTCTACTTCATTGACTTTGAAAAAGCCTTCAACAGTGTCGATCGAGAGGTGAATTAGAAACCACTTCGCTACTACAAGGTGACGCCAACAGTTATACACTTCATCCAACAGTTGTACGACAATATTGCATGCCGAGTAATCCCCAACGGGAAACTCACGGAATACTTCGAATTGATGACGGGAGTAAGATAAGCTGGCTGCCCACCATCTGCAATGATTTTTCTGATTGCAGTAGATTGCATAATGCGACAGACAGCGGGCAGCGAGGAAACAGGCATAAAATGGACTCACACAAAAAAACTTGGAGGATCTGGACTTCGCCGATGATTTATGTCTAATTTCCCACAAACTGAAAGGTATGTAAGTGAAAAGCAACATGTTGGCGGTAGAAGAAGCATCGAAGATAGGACTTCAGGTAAACATAGAGAGAACGGATGTGATGATGAAGATTCCTGGTCAACAGCCACATCAGCAGCAACAATAACAGACAACAATCGGCATAGACGGGAGAAATCTGAAAGAAGCAACCTCCTTCACCTACCTACCTGGGAAGCATAGTTTCAACTACAGGCCAACAGAATTGATGAGGATATCAGAACGGCGATGATCGGGAAAGCGATGCCAGCTTTCATTGCCCTCAAGTCTGTGTGGAGATCAACAGCACTAAGTATGAAAAATAAGATCAGGATTTTCAACTCCAATGTGAACTGAGTCAGTGCTACTATACGGATGAGAAACTTGGAGCCGAGTCACGAAGGGCACCTCAAACAAGCCAAAAATCCTGATCAACAGCTGTCTTCGCTTAGTACCCAAGACCAGATGACCAGACGAGATCATCAGACAAATAGCGTGACAGCTCACCAACTGACCGTCATGGCTGTCATGCTGTTATTAGTTCTGCTTAGGTATC